ATCCAACAGTTTTCAATCCCGTCACCCTCGCGCAAGCCAACACGTTCGTGCCGGCTACTCGCTAATTCAGTCGACACAATGCCCAGTGAGATCCACGTGGGCCCACCAACCGTGACGTCACATCATTGATAGGCGCCCACATTGAAGGATATTGTGCCAAGAATAGACTATCGATCCACCTATTATCGAGCGACTCGTTGCGAAGTGAAAATGAAAATCGACGAAAATCGTGGTCTAAAAAAGGAAGGAAGTCATCGATCCACCTACTTGCGTTTATCCTACGATTTTCTGTTCCTACATAATAAACGTGATAAAATTGACGAAGAATTGCGATTCGACGAGGAAACGGATATTATTATAAATAGAAGATCGAAAAATAAAAAGATCACCGGTACAATAATGAAATAGAGAGAATAGAGAGTCGTCGATTCGAGTCGTCTTGTGTGCAAAGAAAGAAAGAGAAAAGCGAAAATTGGCGGATCCTCCAACGATTGTGGGAAAGAAAGAAGATCCGCGATGAAAAAGAACGGATGGATTCGATGGAAGTCCTGGAATCACGGACAAAGATGGAGCGAGGAACGGAGCGAGTGGTGGAAGAGGACACCGCGAGTATTATACGAGGGGTGAAGAGGGATAGAAACACTCGTTGGCGGAGAAAGGAGAGAGGCGAAACGTGGCGTCTGCTCGAAGGCACACGTAGACGCTGCGGCCAGGATTGTGCAAAAGCACGGCTAACTCTCATCTCCTCTGATCGTTTCCTGTGCCATTATGCTACCGCTGAAAAGCCGGCTGTATTCCCTTCTTACGTATGCCTGTTTACGCCGCTATTGAAATCGCAAACGGAGAAAGTCGAAGGACGATTATTCCGGCGTGGCGTGGATACGTGTACGCGTATGTTTGTTTCTTCCTTTGCTGGTAACCGGTATCGAGTGGCGAGTGCTTATTAACTTCGAGGGCCGCGGTCTTAAACGCGTATATAAGGCGGTTGAAAGGTAGATTACACGGAAGTATAGGGGTATTTCAATGCTCTCCAAATGTCTCGTCGAATCGTTTCCACGGTTTGGAAATAGCGTGCGTTCGATTGATCGAACGATCTTTGCATTTTGTCCGCTTATTCGTAACGCCTTTAGCATCGGTTACTTTTCACAGAGAACTTTCTATTCTACGAAATTTGCACGGTTTTTCACTATTTCGAGGTGGCCAAGTGATTAATAATTTTACTATCTTCGTGAATAGATTATTGAAAATCTAAAATTATAATAGTTTATTAGGTAGTTTATTAGGTAACGAGATTTCAAAATATAAAGATCCTTTTTCTATTTTCTATTTTATTCGCTTATTTGCAACACTTGGTCCTTTCTATTCTATGAAATTTGCTCGATTTTTGATACGAAGTGATAAATGATTAATAATTATACACTATCTTCGCGAACGTAGATCATTGAAGACCTAGAATTTTTCCCTACAACGGTAACGGTAATTTCAAAATGTAAAGGAACTGTGAATTCGCGTTCCTTTTCGAGTTGGAATCGCGAGAAATTTGATTTAGAGGCGCCGCCCCTGCCTCTATTAAACGGCGGCCTCTTGTTCTCATTCTCGAAATCGTTGAAAGGCAACCGAGTGAATCTCTTCTCGGGGGAGGGGAGAGAGGGTTGGGAGAGGCGGCAATTTCGCAACAATACGGGGAGGGGGCCTCGGCCGCACCGTTGGAAAAAGGCTTGCACGGCGAAGGCATTGTATCGCGACGTCGATCGCAAAATTTCTAGCCCCGATTCCTTTGTCGATGCGGGACGCGCGAGAGCTATCGAATCCAAAGGATTTCCGGTCTGTTGCTCCTCTATCGGCGGGTCGTTACGTAGAATTCCAATTCGGTTCCAGTCGCTTGGCAACGCCTTCGCCGTGTTCCTCTACTTCTCCTTTTCTCGGCCGAGAAATCTTTTTCGAATCAAAACGCGAAACTTCTTCGCCAATCATTTCGATCCTCCTCGAAACGATTTACCAAGATTTTTCTGGCGCGAGAAGAAAGAAGAAGAAGATTCGCCACGTCGAAACTTCACGCCTTTTTCTCCGACAAGTTTTTTTTTTTTTCTTTGAAACGAATATCAATAATGTAAACTTTGGTCGTGTCCCTTTCTAGCCAGAAATTCCTACTCCTCTTCGACGACGTACCTACTTCGAAATTTTCTCTTTTATACAAACTTCCATATATAAAATAACGAGAAGAATCGCGCAAAACTTGCCACTACATAACAACGAAGAAGCTACGAATCGAGGAGAACCTTTACATCACGTACGATGATTCCCTTTCATGGAAATCATTCGAAGTCGGTTTCCAAATATTATTATTATATCGGGACTGGCCGATAATAAAATGTGTTCTTAATTAATTAAAAACGGTTCGAGGGGAGTAGAGAAGGGGGAAGATGCGAGCAACCACCGAGTTGCATCCACCCACGTGACTTGTCACCAGGGTCGGGCCGCTGTCGAGCGTATATAATTACGCTCGAGACGAACGGCCGATTTCGATGAGCGAAGAGAGGATGGTAGGAGGATGCTCGAGAGCCAAGCACGACGACGTGTTTCCGCGCCCAAGAGGTATACACATCGGTCGCAGAGGTATACGTCAAGGGTCCTCCAACCGGGACCTAACGGACCGAATCGAGCTCTGCTTTCTTTGCGCGCCCGCGCGCATATATCGAAAGATTACACAGACGCACACACGCGTCAGACGGTCCAGTAGTGGATTATTTGAAGAGCACCAGCTCAGTGTTTGTATATTTCATAACTCGCTCGCTCGAGGCTGTAAGAGGGACCCATGCGGGAGGGGTCCGTTTCTTCGAGGGGCGACAAAGGGTGGGTCCGATGGCGTTCCCCTCTTCTCGAGGGGCATAAACAGAGAGAGAGAGAGAGAGAGAGAGACCTTAATTAGTC